TTATCCTGTATTTGATTGTGTTTATCTGCAGTTAGTTACACGAATTCAGTTATGGGATGAAATCGGATAGGGATGAACGGGTTTAAGAGTTTAAGAGTTTTTAAGAGTTTTAGCCAAATGCATTATAATATAGTATAGATAATTATTAATTCACGTTTAAATAAAATACGTGAGAACTTCATAATTTATGAGATGAATAAAATCTCTCCTAAGTCACTAATTGAAATTGATGAGATAATTAATGCATTTTTAAGTAAATATTCAAAGCTCATATATATATATATATATATATATATATGTATAGAGAGAGAGGGAGGTTAGGTTCCGGTGAAGATGATTGTTAGGTGAGAAGGACGTGAAGAGATTTTTACCCTTTGATCAATCTTAATTGAATAGTTCTATTAGATCAACAATAATAAAAAACATTGGATCAATTTCTTTCTAAAACGTAGTTCATGGATTCGTTTGAGATTAAAACTGATATGATCCTTCATCATATATATATATATATATATATATATATATATATATCTCACGTAAAAATAAGAGTTAAGATGAGAAGCGTAAAAAAAAATTTGAACCCCATCCCATGATTTGCGTTTCTCACAAAAATTAATCAGGTGCATCTCATTAAGGTTGATCTTCAATTTGGATTGATATAATGGTGGATGTCCCTTTTTACCCTTCTCACCATAACTTATATTTTTACTGAAATCCAACTATATATATATATATATATATATAGAGAGAGAGAGAGAGAGGAGCGATCAAATGAAAACCACTCCAATTTGTAAACACCGTAAAAACTACTCTCATCCGTCTTAATCTTATGAAATTTTTTCATGAAATTGTTTAATCTTGTGAAATTGTTTCATATAATACTTTTTTTGATGAAGTTATTTCATATATGGTTATGAAACTGTTTCATGTATTTCTCTAAAATTAAAATAATAAAGATGATAATATATATGAGTAACATCCTCCACAATAAAAATGATTAATCAACCTCTGATAATTACAAAAAAATGAACAAAATAAAAAATTATGATTGGTGGAATGAGGTTTTTACGGTTTTTACAAATTGAGTGGTTTTAAAAATTATAGTTGGGTTCCAGTAAGAAGAAGAAATCTTCACTATTGGATACACATTATGATGAGATATCGAGATAAGATGAACCGAGATATATCAGATCAATCGCGATTCATGGGTGAATTTGAGATTAAATGTGATCAAAGGTTCAAATCATTTCTTATACTTCTCATCTTAACGCTCCTTCTCACATGATCATTTGCTTATATCTACACTATATTATAAAGCATTTAGTTAACACTCTTAAACTCGTTCATCCCTAAACGATTTCATCCCTATCTGATTTCATCCCATATCTGAATTCGTGTAACTAACTGCAGATAAACACAATCAAATACATAATAAACAGCTCATTTTAAATATAAAACATCTAAAATATAATTAGTATAATCATTAAATTCTAACAGAATACTTAATTATTATTTTTATAAAATTTATAATATTAAAC